ACTTGTCCAGGGATTTTCAATCAGCACCTTGCGGCCTTTGGCTAGCCGTCGACGAACTAAGCCTCGAAGCCATTTGGTGAAAGGAAACCAGCTGTCTCGATCTCGGAGAATCTTCTCTCTGGTGACCTCATTCTTTGACATGTTGAGCCTTGACCACGGTCCCCAGGGTCCACAGACTGGGCTAAGGGTGATGACATAGGGGTCAAGGCGGTCGATCTCGTGATCCAGCTCTTGGCGTACAGAAGCCTTCAAGAGATCACTGCCATCCAGTGTGATGTCCACTGGTGCTGCAACTGGTAGTCCTTGATTGGCAGCGATAGAGCTCAACATGGCTGCTCCAGCAAAGATCTCGAGGAGGAAGACCTTGCAGCCACGTGGAAGGCATACACCAGAGCGGCGTCCACGTCGTGGTGTGGACTGGAGTTGAGACCACATTGCCTGGTCTTGTTCACCAAGTTCATTGAGCTCTTCTTCGAGTTGACGTTTCTGGTTCTTGGTCAAGGTCTTCGGTTGTTCTTCATCAAGTCGGAGATGCACCTCAGTGTTGGTAGTAGTGGATGAAGCCGGTGACGTTGGCGAGGATGGCTCTTCAGATCCATAGTCGGTCTCGACATCTGTGTCCGTCACCGTTTGCTCTTGGCTAGAGTGCATGCCGAGCATTGCAATCTGAGATGGTAGCAGGTGCAATCCAAGAAGACCATTGAGGTCGGTGACCTTGAGGTAGCCACCAAGCAATCTGCTGTAGACCTTGTCGGGCGTGTTCTCATCGCCAAGGTTGACCTGCAACTGAAGTCGGCGTTGGTCCTTGATGGACAGAAGTAGTGGTGCATCACTGTTGCACAATTCCGTGCTATCGATGGTGCCGATGGCAAAGCTGTCCTCCTTGGACTCCAATTGGAAGCATACTTCAAGTCGTCGTGTGCCGGAGGTGTTGACTTGACCATTGATGCCCTTGATGCTTGAGGTGGATTGTCGAAGTTCACATGGTTGAACGTCAGGGCCAATGGCTTGTTGATACCGCTGCATCCATCGATCACCATGACAGGTCCGGTTGCATCCGGAATCCAGGATCGCGAGGAGATGAGACTCTCGCACGGGCTCTTGTGGTTCATCATGTGGTCCTGGTAGGTCATGGTGTCCGGAATCAGGTAGTCCTGGTTCATCATCATCATAGGCCATGTAGGCTGCTGGCGATCCATGGTAGGACGAAGGTGCCCTTGGTGGCGTCCGTGGTGGTGTCCATGGTTCACCTTGAGCCGCTTTCTTCTCGCGGAAGTAGTGAGCCAGGTCTTTCATGCCGCGACTGGAGCCATCATCAACGTTGTTCAGGACCCAATCAACGTAGTTTTCATCTTGCCAAGCATACCAGAATGGATGCCCTTTGTGCTTGCCGAAGGTGATGGTCTTGGTGCCGTGGAAGTAGAGCACATCAGACTGATCCCTCGGTGGTGGTGCCTTTGGTGTCGATGGCACCTGAGCTGTTGACATCGTGGGCATCGTCGGCATGCTGGTGTACTCAGAGCTGAGGGTGTCCAGGTTCACGGATACAGCATCAATGATCCGGTGAATCTCTTCCAAGCTGAGGATTCCATTGTTTTCCTTCATCTTGATGGTGGCGATCATGAGTGACGACCGAAGCAGCTCATGAACTGACCTGGAGTCGAACTGCTTGTTGTCATGGACAGGCTGTCCAATGGCGCCACGAAGGAAGGTCTCTTCATTGACTCGTAGATGAGGTGGCTTGAGTACATGTTGGTCTGACCGTGCGCCACGGATGACCTTGCCGCAATCCAAGCAGGTATTGCGCCAGTTGATGCCATTCGATCCTCTCCACGTGCATCGGTTGTGGTTGCACGGGACATTGGTGAAGCCTGGAGCTCCTTCAACAGGTTGGGCATTCTTGCCAACGATCATCTTCTTCTCATTCTTCAGCAGGAGGCCACAATCAAGACACGTCTCCTTGAGGTAGTAGCCATTGCTGCCCTTCTTGGTGACCCTGATGTGAGGGCGTGCTTCCTGCTGAGGCGTTGCCGGTGCTGAGGATGTGACGTTGGTGCTTGCAGAACCTGGAGCTGGTTCTCCTGGAGTTGCCATGGTGGCCTGCACAGACGCCGCAGTGGGCGGTGGCATCCTTGCAAACACAGTACTCAAACTTGAGGGTGTAGGTCCACCAGCAGGTGCTGTCGGCTGCATAGACGGTGTCCGTGAAGTGGGCACTTCCGTAGGATGTTCGGAGCCAGATCCAGTGCCGCCGGAGACCGCCATGAGGCATGTGTCCTCGTTCACAATCTCATAGTCTTGAGGTCCATCGTGCATGGCGAAGTAGACCACTCTGGTCTTGGGAGTTCCGCCACCTTTTGAACCCTTCTTGCCATGCTTGCCAGATGAAGCCATAGTCGAGGAGGAGGAGAAGCTCTTCTTTGACTTGTTGTCGCCCTTGCCGGTGCCTTTGGGACATTGTGGGTCGCCAGACCAATGCCCTTTTTGTCCACACTTGCGGCACTCGGTCTTGCTCTTGAGCTGTTGAAGGCGAGCACGTTTCTCCTGCAAGGAAAGCGAGCCAGAGACTTCGAACTGTCTGGACCCGCTGAAGCCACTGTGGCCTTTGCCTTTGGCATGACCTCGAACAAAGTAGGCCTCATTCTCCAGTTGGATGGCCTCAGCTGCCAAGGCACATGCTTCTTCATTCTGCATGTCCAGGCCCTCGTCGATGAAGTAGGCGGCCCATTCCGCCAGGAGGTCATTGGCCTCAGAGTCCTCATAGCCGAGGTAGGTGGTGTTCTCATCGTCGTCCTCAAAGACCTCGGTGAAGCCTGCAAGGGACTGGGATGCCGTCTCCCAGTCAGGGGACTCTTCATAGATCTCCTCATCGACATGGAAGGCTCTGTTGTTGAAGCCTTTGCCTTTGGATCTCCATGATCCCTTGAAGCTGCCAGGATGCCGCCGTGGAAGTCGCTCACGTTCATGTAGTCGAGGGTGTTGGTTGAGTAGCTCATCAGCTACGAGCTCAACTTCCATCTTGCCTCTCAAGGTGGTGCGGATCATCAGCTTCTGGTCTTCACTAAGACCTGCATTCTGGAGGATCTGTTCTGCTAAGATCCCTTCACTCACAGCCATGCTCGGGTCGAGCTGCTGGAGCTGGCGCCACCATGTTTTGCGCCTGAGCACATAGCTTGAGACCGGCTCTCCATGTTGTCTCGCCATCATGCCACCGTCTCTTGCTCCAATGGCATAGAGTTCTCTGGCTTCCTGTTCTCGGCGTGGTCGGAGGTTCTTCTCGAAGAGGGTGATCAGGATCTCAGGAGCCTCGGTGGTTGCGAGCTTGGATGGCTCGATCTGCTGAGCCATCTTCAGAGCTGGTCCTCGGAGTCCCTCAACTAGCCTGAGCCCTAGCGGCCCGAGTTTCTTGACCTCACCTGCATCCATGTGGGACTCTCTTTGTGCTCGAGCTCGTACGCGGTAGGCGTACTCGTTGAGGGCGCTAGGTTCCCCGCTGAAGCGAGGGATGCCAAACTTGGACTCTGTTTGGTCATCAGCCACCGTGGAGGTGGCAGCAGCTGTGGCCGCCGCGTCGTAGCGCAGCGCCTCCAAGAACGCCGCCATGGCGCTCTCGGCGAGAGAGCAAAAAAAGCTGGTGCCGGGATCGCTCCCAGCTCCGCTGCCAGTATGAAACTGACAGCGGCCCGGAGGAACGCGCACCTTTTGGCACGCGTGTGCGAGTCTTGAGCCATGGATTCATGGCGGGTTCAAGTGTCACAACTGGCTGGAGCATGACGATGGGAAAAGGCGTGCATGCTCAGACATGGAAAATCATGAACTGGTCATGAAAGGACCCTCACTTTCACACTTTACTATTTCCATCTGTTGCTCCATCACCGTTTCCAAAGTCATATGGTTCCCGTCATGGCTCGTCGGAACCCGGTCCGAACCATGGCGACTCCATTGACAACGAATTTCGCACCCGCTCGTCGAAACACGTCGGCAAATGACCCATATTTTGATAGGAAAAGAGCTTATTTTGGGTCATTCAGGTTCTAGGTATAGGTTATTCAGGTTCTAGGTATATATGCCTCAGGCTAATCAACTACTGCTCCTAGGATCGGTTCTTCTTCTCTGCTACGAACATCCTGTTGCGACTACCCGCGCCTGGCCTTTTGAGAGGCCTCACCAGCACTTGGAGTCTGAGCTTCCAAAGCGCGACTTCGGAAACGTCTCTGTCACTCTGATGTCTCCATGTCACCAGAAGAAATGCTGTGAGCAGCAGCGATTGCTTTCACAGTCAGCAGGCGAATGGAAGTGAATGGAACATGCGGACCATTTTGGAACCTAGGCCCCCGCTTGCGCACTGCGGACAAGGATGCGCCCCAAGCTCTTCGAACTTAGAACCTGCAGTACTTGCTGGATCATCGTTATAAACGAGGTCCTGCAATGAAGAAATGACACCCGGAGCAATCTGAGGTCTGTTGGAAGTTTCTCCAACACCTCGAAAGCATCTGAAGCCATTAAACTTTAAGCTGCTCTTCTGGATTGCTTCGCTACAAGCTCCTAAGTGCTGTCACTTGGAAAGATCACTCTGGGTGCCATCAATTTGGAAGCCATTCGGAGACTTGTAATAAGGTGCTATTTAGTTTGTTCTTTCTCTAACTGCATTTGTCCTCCCCATGGCCGATGGGCCCATGATCTTCACTATTTCATCGCAGTAGCAAAAACACACACGTAACATATATATATATAGTACCAGTAACAACAGTGCCCGTAACAACATAAACCAATCTTACTGCATAACGATCAAGGTTCAGTCAGTTTTTTCAGTGTGATTGCAAAGCAAACCTGATTAACAAACCCAACAAACATCAGCCCGGCATGAAGCTATCTTCTCCGTCCGTAAATTCTTCGCGGCTCCAAATGCAGCCAAGTCCAGCAGCAGTACAAATACCGGCCGAATCACACGTGGAGAGCTGGTTCCGTCAAATTGAAACTAAGTTAGGGTCATCCAAAAGCACTTGACAATACTATGATTCTTGAAGAACTGTGAGCCACCCTGTATGGCCTCGACCAACTTTACCTCAACAAAAGGACCAGCCGACCCCCCGGAGTGGAGGACCAGCCGACCCACTCTGCGACTCTGATGGGACTGGTGCCGACGGGACAAACACTCCATCTCTCAGGCAAAGGCTTGCGCGCAAGCGCCTGGGTCGGACGACAGGCACAGTTCAAAGCCTTCCTGATGAGGATCTAATGGTCCTGTTGCAACAGTGTTGCTAAATGATCGAACTGCCTCAGTTGTAGGGAACCAAAGGAAACGCTACAAACTTGCGGCAGCAGTTGAAAGAAAGTTCCAAGCCCGCGGCAAATCTCATGGGGCAAACATAACCACCTGATAGGAACTCCATGTCAGGTTGCGTCAGTGATTTGCTCAACCAAAAGTTCAGGCCACGCCTAGTGGACGTGATGGACGACGTGATGAACATGATAGTGGCCGCCAGAAGAATAGCTGCCACCACTGGACCAGCTGTGGCCACCTGCTGCAGCACCACCGGCAGCACCGCCAGCAGCTCCACCAGCAGCTCCGCCAGAGACATAGTGATGGGTGACAACAACCTCAGGTCGAATGGCCATCTCTAGCCCTGATCCCTTGCCCACTGCTTTTGGCCATGGCACGTGAGTGTGCCCACCAGCTCCGGCACCATGATACACGTAGCCAGGGCAACCAAGCTGCTCGTGGCTGCAGCACCTGCAAGGAGCATTATGAGACTGCCAGGATAAACCAACAATGGGAAGAATGTTCTGTGCGAACCTATCGATGGGACTTTTCATACGTAAGGAGTAAACATGCTGACCCAGCTGACCCCACATCATGTCATATCAGGCACAATGACAGTCTACGAGTGCCATCTACCTACTACCAAGGCCAACATGTTTCCAACTGGGCAGCGCACCAGGTCTTCTTTGGTCCAGACCAGCCGTGCTCCCATCCAGGAAGGCCTTGGCTTAAGGCATCCTTGCTTACGGACAAAACTGTCTTATTCCAATAGAAAAAGGGACACTATTAAATGAGTCAATTGAGCAGAGACAAAATCCATGAGATCTGTCGGTGAAATTGAGACCAAAATCATGAGATCCACTGGATGAAATGTGAAGGAGCGAGTCATTTGGGACGCGCATAAGGTGTGGACTGCACCGTCACTTGGGATGTGACCATCATGTCAAGTGCGGGTTTTTCCCATGTCACGGTTGCATTCCAGATTTCCAACATCGTCCTCTTTAGAAGGAATTCCACACAAATCAGGCGGTCAATCCAAATAGTGAATAGTGAAAAGCACTGGTACCTTGTGATGGAGGAAGATTGATTCATAACATTGATGTAGCAGCCCGGTAAGAGCTCCCCTAGCAACCTTGCGATGCTCCCGCTAGTGATAGACTAGAGCCTTTCGTGTTTCGTGAAAACGACTCCTGAATGGACAGTGCTGACTCCTGAATGTTGACTCAACGGAAAATCCGCTCACCAGCCCGCCTGCGTGGCAGTCATAGGGCTTCTGCACAGAAACGGCACCATGTGCCATGTGGGCCTTCCACCAGCAACAGTTGAGCTTATGCAATTTATGTATATGTTATCTGTTGTTTCGCTTTTCTAAAGCTGCTTCAGTGGTAAGGAAAAAGCATTTGGATAGAGCTTTGGAACCCGTGATTAAGAGCGACTAAGTCAAGCGACTTGTCAGCACCTGCCTCCCACGTCCAGTGGCCACTGATCATGACTTTCCTGAGAATCGCAACACTCAGTCAAATAGATTCTTGCCAAAGAATCAAGTATTTCTCCACCTCTGAACAGCTTCAAAATGGCTTCACTTTCAAATGCAGCCCAAATGCTTCCATACCTTACCAGCACCAGCATCACAGTTGGGTGGTGTATCCGGAGACTGGCAGCCTTGCAAAGCAAGACTTTGGAAATCTTTGGAATCAAACACACTGCAATTGGCAGATCTTCGCAAGGTTCAAGCTGAAGTTGAATAAAAAAGGACTAAATGCGAAGATTGTGCGCGGGGAGTCTTGCAAAGGGTTGTGTCCTGCCCCTTGCTTCACACTGCACACATATATCTTGAACAACTTGTCTAATTGCAGACAAAATTGTGCATGGAAGAGCATCTGGTCATGTTAACAAATTGTCTCGCCATCAAAATGAAAGGCCAGCAAATAGAATGTAGGGAACGAATGCCAGCACCTCCGTGTGTTTCTGCGATGTGGTCTATGTGTTCCTAGCCTAGTCAGTCCCTGTCACCTCCTTTGTATTTGGCGGTGCCTTACTTTTGCATCTTCCTCGCGTAGCGCCACCATCCGCAGAGCTTGAAAACACATTCTCAGTGTTCCGACGACCATTCATGGTCCCCCACGAATTTGGAAGCCAAGCGCCATTTCACCCGACACACAATCGCTCGGACCATCTTCCAAACAAATCGAACGGACTGGCCCCAAATTGCTTCAAACAGCCTAGTACATACCGTGGCCCGAACAGCAGGCGAGATCAGCTTCTAATCCAAATCGAGGGCGTCTTTGATGGCCTCCAAACTAATAGCGATGGCCTCCAACCTAAAAGCGATGGCCTCCAACCTAACAGCGATAGAATTGCCTGTTTCTTGTAAATTTGCCCAGTCCACCCTCCCGTGATTCGCAAATCTTTCGAATCAGCTAGCCGCTAGGCCGTGCCATCGTTTCCGAAGAAATGTCCTTCCCGACCCTTACCATTTCGGTCGGTTCGGACTGTGCGCCTTTGCCCTTCTCCTTACAGCACCAGACCTTCTTGGCGGGAGACCACGCGCGGCACCTCAAATGGCGCACCATGTCCGCAAGGTGCTAAGTGCTGGAGACAAAATGTTGCATAGACATATCAAACCTAGCGAATCTCTGAGGTATCCGGCCAATTGCCCAAAGCAGCATAGCCTGGGCTCGCGATGAGGGGACCAGAGCCGTCTCAAACATGATCCGCTCGGCGGAGAAAGCTTGCTATTTGCGGTTTAACTCTCCTTTGCTAAACGAGCTAGGAACAAGTGCATCGCTACTAGTAACAAGTGCCTTACTAGTAGTAACAAGAAGCTAGTAGAAACAAGAATAAGGATGCATTGAGATTCGCTGAGGGCCCTGCAGTCGAAGGCAGCTTTGCCAGGTCCTTGCTCGCCGCAGCCGGCAGCCTCAGGAACGTGTGTTTTGAACTTTTATCAACTTCTGTGGAGACTTACAATGCCCTGTGGTATGGCGGTATGGCTTTCAAAGAAATCAACAAAACAATCATAGGTTCCTGTGGCAAAACAGGTTCATGGAGATCCCATCAAATGACTTTCCCTGTCTCTGCCCTTCGCAAAGTGTGGTGCTTTGACTTCCCCCTATTCCCTTGTTGCGTCTGCAGCGCCGTCCGATTGCTTCTGATCAACAACCATCCATTCCAAGCCAAAGCCCTAAAGCCCTCGGGACGAGTGCTTGGGTCAACTCAACCGCTGTGAGTCTGATTGCCTGGATGGTGCATGCGCGGCACACATCACACTCAACCTCGGCGGAAGTGGGAAGGCGATCGCAGCGCTTTGCGCTGGGCGTGCCGAGTCGACGAGGGCCGCCACACATGGCAAGAACGCTTACAGACAAGACAATGACATAAAATGTTGAACGAATCTGCCCACATCACAACGCACTGTCCTCAACTAGAGCTGATGTATCACTCATATGACGCAAAGAGTTTGTCTACCTGACATGAATCGAAACAAATTGAGACCTCATGCTCCTGGCAAAGTCATTCCTACATGGCTTCACTGTCAAATCAAAAGACAGAAACTGTTTCTACCTTCTTGTGATGCAGCCAAAGCGGGCCTGAATCTTGCTGTACGCCAGATTGCATGCGTTGCTCTTGGAGCCAAAGACGTTTTTCTGCACAGGTCAGACAAGGAATTTGGCTAGATAGCAGTTAGCATGTCTACCGCATTCTCACGATGTTCCAAGGTGGAGATATCTCTCAAAAGCTACCCAATTTTTGACCAAAAGGATCCAAAAGGCAATTTACCAGATCTTGAAGCTTCAAAAGGTGAGGCTGCAGGAGTCTTTCGGGTATCTTTTGACAAACTTAAGTGCCCATACAATATTAGAACGTTCCGATGAATCCAACCCCAAAACGGTACTTGCCTGAGTCCAGTCGATACGCTCCTTGCAGGTTGAGGTCTCTCCATTCAAAGAGCACTGGGCCTCGGCTAACACATCGAAACAACTTCTCAAGAGTAACATGAAACGACGTTCAAAAAAACAAAAAAGTTGGTGGCCATCGCTATTAGGTCGCTGGCCATCGCTATTAGGTCGGAGGCCATCGCTATTAGGTCGGCGGCCATCGCTATTAGGTCAGAGGCTATCGCTATTAGGTTGGAGGCCATCGCTTAGGTTGGTGGCCATCGCACTTAGGTCGGAGGCCATCGCTATTGTATAGGTTGGAGGCCATCGCTATTTTGGTGGCCATTGCTATTAGGTCGGAGGCCATTGCTATTAGGTCGGAGGCCATCGCTATTAGGTCGGAGGCCATCATTATTAGGTTGGAGGCCATCGTTATTAG